ACTGAGGGTTGGCAAGAAATGCTGCGTCTGGAAACTCAAGAGCTTAGTTTGATGGAGAAAATGACTCACCTTATCTATGTTAGAATTACCATAGCACTATCAAGGGCAACGTATATCACAAAACTGTGAGTAATCTGCCGATTTCCAGACCCCACTCTGTCTTGTCCCATGTTCCCCAGTAGCAAATGCAGGGATCTGCCTGCTAACGGGTTTATGAATGTGCAACATCCTTCCATATAGTAAGAGAAAAGTGGGTTATAATCGGAGGCCGAAAAGGACATGCCCCGACAGACCAGTTGTACCAGTGAATTCAGAGAACTACGTAAAACACACGTTTATCCTAACGTCTCATTTACAGGGCCTCGTGTTTAAATCGTGCATGTCCTTAATTTGACCAGCCTTGTTCTGTTTTAATCTGTGGGCGCTGATCTACATTTCACTGTTATCGGAAACAGATCGTTTTGATTCTGAGCAGCCTGGTTATAGGATTTTAGTGCAGCAAAAACATCCCTAGGAGCCAGTAATGGCACGGGACTAAACAGGGATGTCTAGTCTGCTAATCCAACTGCTTCTGAAGCCGGGATAGCCAGGCAGGGTGCGAAGGGGCCGCGGAAATGCCTGCTCTTTGGGTTCCTGGGTCCCTCTGCAATCGCAGCGAACTCTGCTAATCTAAAGCTCTCAGGGGAGACAAACAGGCTCCCTTACACTCCCGCTGGCACAAATAAATCCCCTCTGGCAGACAGTCCGTCTCCGCGAGAGACTCAGTGAAGGGCTGGAGTGAAAAACAAGGGTGGGTGGGAGGTGGGTTGCGGAAATGCCTGCTCTTTGGGTTCCTGGGTCCCTCTGCAATCGCAGCGAACTCTGCTAATCTAAAGCTCTCAGGGGAGACAAACAGGCTCCCTTACACTCCCGCTGGCACAAATAAATCCCCTCTGGCAGACAGTCCGTCTCCGCGAGAGACTCAGTGAAGGGCTGGAGTGAAAAACAAGGGTGGGTGGGAGGTGGGTTGGGAGGGACGGGTTGTTGTTACGCTGTCGAGTCGTTTGAGTAACGAGGAAGCCTCCAGCTCCAGCTGGGCACAGAGGCAGGGACGAGAGACTCCTGTGGAGTCTTTCCCCCGCCCTACAGCTGGAGGGTGGGGACTGGTGCGGCCAACCACAGCCGCCTG